TTCTACGGGCTTGGCAGCGATGGTACCGTCGGGGCGAACAAGAGCGCCGTGAAGATGATCGCCCTCGGAACCGAGCTCCATGCGCAGGCCCGGGCCGAGTCTCTCGCTCCCTCTCCCTCTTTTTCTTGCTGGCTCGCTTGCGCTCTCATGTTCTGGCATTGCGGGCAGGCATACTTCGAGTATGATGCCAAGAAGAGCGGCGGTGTGACCATCAGCCACTTGAGGTTCGGGCCCAAACCAATTCACGCTCCTTACAACGTCCGCGCCGCCGACTACATGGCCATCCACAAATCAAGCTACGTGCACAACTATGCTCCCTGCCTGACATGGAGTTGTTGTCAGCTTGCATTGTTTCGTCTGGGCAAGTGCTCTCAGCTGGAGATTAGTATCCGGGATTCCTGTTGGCAGATTCTAAGGACATGACGCGTTACCTGAAGCAGAACGCCGTCTGTGTGATCAATTGCTCCTGGGACGTGAAGGAGTTGGAGCAGCAGCTGCCTGCCAAGATGCGGCGGGATCTGTCTGAAAAGAAGGCCCGGGCATGCTGGTGCTAATGCCAACTGATTCCAAGCCGTCCCTGCGTTTGAAGGCAAAGCTGTTCATCATCGATGCTACCAAGATTGCGGTGAAGGCAGGCAGACATCACAGAAGCCACAGGATTACTTGATGCTGGTGATTAGCTTCGGTTCCGGTTGCATGAAAGTTGACCATGACATGTAATGAGCCAGGATCAAGTGCAGATTCTGGTTTTTGAATTGCACAGTCGCATCTCGTACTGCGTGGCAGACAGGCCGGCCTGGGCAAGCGCATCAACATGATCATGCAAACCGTCTTCTTCAAGCTGAGCGGCCGCCTCAGACGCACGCCTTGACGCATGCCACACGGGGGTCGCGTATCAAATTGGCCTTTTTTTTGGGTCAAATGGCCTTTTTTGATGTCTCGGCTCACACATTGCATAGTCTCGGCCACAAGAGGACATAATTGCAGGCTATCCCTAAACCCTAAACCCTAGACCCTATTCCCTTCGGGCAGACGGAAAAGAGGTGACAAAAAAAAACCCAGAGCCCAGACCCTATACCCTAAAGCCTAAGCCCAAGTCTCGGCCAGGTCTCGGCCGAGTTTCGGCTAACCCTACATCCTCAACCCTAATCCCCAAACCCCAAACCCTCAACCCTAAACCTTAAACCGTAGACCGTTAAACCTAAACCTAGATAGGACATGAGCTGCGATGTCGACGCCTCCAGCCCCTCGACGGGCACTCGCCGGTTGGTGCGAGTGCGAAGTTGACCCTCTTCGGTCTCCTATGTGGTCTTCTCTGCTTGGGTTGGCAGAGTTTGGTCCTGTCAGGAGCGCGATGGCTGGAGAGTCTTTTGGCCACCTGTGGTGTGCTCGCTGTGGTGTTTCCCGCCCTTTGGGGTGCTTTCTTAAGAAATTTCGGCTGTGGAGGCTGGGGTGGCTTCCTTGATGCTGACAGAGGTGTGAACCGACGGACAGGCTCACGAGGGCGATTCAGTGCGCGTCCGCGCGCCCTTTCGGTCTTGCTGCTCTTTGTCCTGTTTCAGGGCTGTGAAGTGCTTCATTGGCGGCTGGGCTCGACAAGCTCATCGCAGTGGCTGGGCTTCTTTGCCTAGGCTCCATGGCGATCGCTTTTGGCAGGATGGTCTGCTGCTGTCTGCTCCTTGGGTTTGCCACTTTCCGCGTCTTTGTGGGGTGGCTGTGGGGTGGCAGCAGGCATCATGGCTGGCGATTTCGGCGGAGAACGCGCGCTCTGCCTCGGCTCCTCAGGTCAGGGACAGCTTCTGGTACAAGGCAGGGGCGTCATGTCAGACGATTGTGGGCGGTTCCGCACCCATGGGGCCCTTCTGCTCCGCATCGCGTTCGCCATGAGGGGCGGCGACGCGATCTTCGTCGTTTCCTTGCTGGCTGTGTGGCATTTCGTGCACGGCCGGCGGGGAGGAGGCGGCTCCGATGGTCCAGATCGTGGCGTCGCATTGTGAGCCATTTTCCTCGGCGCCATACTCGGCGCTTCTTGCCTAGGATATTGCACCCGCAGGTCTTGCTTCGTCAGGGCTCGCATGGGACCAAGAGTTATGCTGCTTGTGATTCTAAGGATGTGGTTTTGAGGGGTCATCGCAGGACTTCGGTTCTCATGCGTGCGTTGAGGAGCCGCTTTCTTTGGAGACTCAGGCGGCACAATTGTGCCGTCATGCGGGTCAGGACCCCAGAACCTGGAAGAGTGATTCAAGAAAATCAGGAAAATTCGAGGGAGCGGACCCAAGGACCGGCAAGAACGCATGAAGAAGGGTTAAAGAGGCCTGAGGGCCCATGGACTACCGGCCCGTTCGGGCCTGGTGCCCCTAGTTGTTCGCTCACCCGCCCGCGCCTCGGCCATGGTGTGGCTGGGGCCTTGAGTGAGACCAGATGTGGCTGCAGCGCTGGCCGTTTTGGCCTCGGTGCATGGTGGGGCTTTGCTGCCCTGGCTATGCTTGCTTTTGGTTTTGGCACCTGGTACTTTGCTGCTGTGCCTGGAGGACCTGCTGATGTGCTTTCGGTGCTGCCTGGCGCCAATGTACACATGTACACTTTTGTTGGCGGTCCTTTCTACAGCGATGCCAATGTCATCGTGGACGGTTTTGGGTGCACTCCAACTACTGGGATGCACTTTGTTTTTGGAATTGGGACGGAAACTGCTGTTGATCCTGCTTTCAGGTGTGACTGGGCGACGCGGGACGGTGCGTGGGTGAGGCTAGCCATCCGGGGCCTGCGGGCTTGAAGGCCAAATGGCGTAAGCAGAGTGGCCTTGCACAGCCCATCACTAAGGGTGAGATTGCCAAGGTGTGCCGCAGCATTTTCACGGAGTTCCTTGAACAGTGGGCTGCGCACCAGCCTCCTCAGCGGGTCTCTTGGGATGACTGGCGGAAATGGCCTAGGGATCCAGATCAGGACTATGCTGATTGGCGGGCTTCTGACGCTGAGTGGCACGGCTATCATGGCGATGGGAGCTCCGCTGCCTCGGCTAAGGACTGGGATGGATTGTGGAATGCTCTTCATGGGGCCCTTCTTGGGATGAGGCTGCCACTGGAGCTCGCGATGGCGCTGATGCTTGGTTCTCTTGGGCGGGTCCTTCTGTTCCTTCTTGGGACGCGTGTGCTCTCGAGGGGGCTCGCGCTGGCCGTGCGGTGTCGTACTACGGTGCTTCTGCTAAGGCGCTTCGGCTGATAGTGTAGAGCCGGTTCGTGTGGTGACAACCCGGCGCCGATGGGATGAATGCCAGGGCGCTGATGCTAACGGGGCCGGTGAGCCGCGCGCCTCCAAGGCTCGTCAGAAGCGCCGGGGCAAGGCCGATACGCCTGGTACTTGGCGATTGGATGAGCGGGTTTGGAAGGCATCTACAGCCATTGGGTTTGCATATTCTGCTGCCAGCTTCAGTCATGAATTGGAAGTTTTTTGTGGAGTGGCATGGCTTGTGTATGTGCAGACGGCGGAGGAGGCCGAAGAGGTGTTTGACCTGTATCAAGCAGACAAGGATGAGGAGCGGGCGACGGACGCTTCACTCCTGTTCCCCGTCACTTCTGATGCTTCCGAGCTGCCTGACTGGGCCGAGAGGGCTATCTCTGTAGCCGTACCGGGGCACGATCAGGGCAGGCTTTGCACCAGGCGCTGCTGGCTGGTGGTGGGCGGCACGGCCCCCCCCCCCCCGCCTTAGCGACGAGAGCGACTGAGGCTGTGGTCCTCAAGAAGCCGCCTGTTTCATGGCCTGTTCTTCGTGCTTCCACTTTTGTGGTCCGGGCTTCCTTTGACAAAGCTTTCGGAGAGGACCACTGAAAGGACATTGTTCGTAAGCCGAGCCATTTTGCCAGGTTGTGGGCCGGCGCCTCGGGTGTTGCACAAGCTGGCATCATCGATGCCTTTGGTTTTCAGCGCTCGGGCACGCGGATCACTGGCATGCTCCGTCTTCGTACTTCTGATGCGGCAAGTCGTCTCTGGAAGTGTTCAGGGCAGCTTGCCAATGGAACGAGGTGGTTCATCGACTTGGTTGGCGATGCTAAGGACTTGACTTTTGCCCAGGACGTCGGGGTGCAGTGGCTGCCTTGGACCTCAGACGAGACCTATGGTGATTACATTGCTCGAGCTGCTGCCAAGGCTGGCTTAGGCCTCGTCCTTGGGTGCGGTATTGGTGTGCGCATGAAGCGCTCTGACCCCTCCTACCAGAGACCGTCTGTCATGTGGCGCATGCGCAGCATCCCCAGCCACTTCATGATGACCGACGTGAAGGAGCTCGCCGAGGCGATGGGGTTCGAGGCCGTCGTGATGTCTACTAGGCACCGCACCCGACGTGGGCATGACTGGTGTTTTCGTGCAGTCCGGGGTGATGCCCTTCAGATCGTGTCGCAAACTGTGCAATGGGATCCTGATCCTACTTCTGAGGTTGTGGTCCTTAAGGAAAGTGCTCGTCGGGGCACCCGCATGTCTGCAGGAGAGGCGATCGCTGAGCCTCGGACGGTGACATTCAATGATGCCCTTGCTGTGGCTCGTGGGCCTGGGGCTCCAAAGCGTGCTTCTCGCAAGGCTCGAGCTGTGGACGGACGCCGGGCCCCCAGTGTTCCTGATAGTTCCTCTGGTGAGCCCTGCCGTGCCGGCACTGCTCCCACTCCGGTGCCCAACAAGAAGCGCGGCGCTCCTGGCGAGGCCGCGGGAGAGTCCATGACCGTAGACTCCGAGGGACGCGCTCCTGGCGATCGGTGGGGGCCTCCTGGGGAGTGGCTTACCAACGATGGCCAGGGCAATTGCTTAGTGCTTGCACTCTCCCAGCTTGACCTTGGTGGGCGTGAGCGCACGCACCGTCAGTTGCGCCGCTTCATTGTTGCAGCGTTCCAGGAGTACCGTAGTGATCTTGAGCCCCTGTGGCAGAAAGCTGGCCGCTTCAACACGATTGGGCGATTCCCTGGTGATGGCCATGCGTTTTCTTGGTCTCCTTTGCCACTCTCAACGTCCAGCGAGCTGGTGCCGCGAAAGTGCATTGGCTCGCTGACCTCATGATGGACGCAAGTTTTCCTTGCGATGTGCTTTGTGTACAGGAGCTTGATTTGGATGAGCTCTCGGCACCTTCTTTCCTGGCCATACTACGTGGTCGGGGACTGCATGTTTTTCTTAGCCCTTTGGACGGCACGATGCACAGATGTGCTGTCTTGGCGAAGTTTGCCGGCTCCGCGGTCAGTTTGGGCAGCGGGCGTTTGGCGGCAGCTGCGTGAGAGCTCTTGTGCAATGGGAGCCTGATTAAGATTGTGATCGCTTCCTATTAAGGTTGTGTTTGGGACTCGGAGCTCGCGATGAATGGCGCTCTCGACGCGGTGGAGGCCTTGCGGGCTACGAGGGCGGCTTGGGTGATGCTCGGTACTTCAACCTGGAGCCTTCAGCCGAACCTTTGGCCTGCCACCTTGCTCGGGGCTTCGCGGTGGCTTGGGACATGGAGTTCGAGGCTTCAGGTCCTTTGCCGGCTACTCGGGAGTCGGGGCGCCGGATCGACTTTGCGGGGGGTTGTGGCCTCTTGACTCTTGATCCCCACCGGGCATCGCCAAAGTTGGGCTTTCTCGGATCACACTCAAGTCTGTTACGACGTGGACCTCTCCACCCTAGACCCTAGACCCTAAACCCTAAACCCGCTAAACCCTAAACCCTGAACCCTGAACCCTAAATCCTAAACCCTGCCTAAACCGTGAAGCCTGGGCGTACCACCTGTATCCGTTATACAGTGACCGTGACCTGGCCGAGACTAGGCAATGTGTGAGCCGAGATATCGAAAAAGGCCATTTTGATGCACCCCCCACATGGGCCACATAGGTGTGGATCTGCTGCATCGTGCAGCAAAGTTGCATGAAGGTGCCGTCATGCCCTACGAAGAGGCCGTGGAGATGCTGAAGAAGAGCATCAAGAAGATGTATGGCAAGAAGGCGTGGTCTTGAGAACGGGGGTGCAGCGGGGCATGCAAACCTGTCAGGGCGACAAAGTGGTGAAGATGAACATCGATGGAGTCGATGCTTCAATCGCGGGCATCGTGGAATGCGAAGTTCCCGCTGCTTGGGCATCCCTGGCAGTCGACACGGAGGCTCGTGCATCTCGTGCATCGAATTGCAGATGATGCCGGTTTTGCAGGGAGGAGTCTCAATTCCGCATCAAGGATGGGCTAGAAGTGAATTTCTTGACAGGCTTCCGACGCCAAGACCAGCACCGTCGCTTATGCCAAGGGGCCCCGCATGTTCCCCGAAGTGCAGAATGCTTCGCAGTTTGCCGCGCAAGTGCAGAAACCTTGCAACAATCTGGATGGCAACTCTCTGCCGGTGAGTGCCTTTGTGCCTGGTGGCCGCGTGCCATGTGGTACCAGTCAGTACGAGAAGCGTGGCATTGCAATCCAGGTGCCTAAGGTAGACATGGACAAGTGCACGCAGTGCAACAAGTGCAGTCTGATCTGCTCCCATGCAGCTGTGAGACCATTCCTGATGACCTCTCAAGAGCTGGGGAAAGCACCGGCATCGTTCAAAGAAGGCAGTCGTTCTGCTATCGGAGGAGGCGTTTT